ATGTTGCTCAACTGAAAAGGAAGTGCCCCCTCTCCATCGTATGGCTTCCACGACACCTGCAATAAGATGTTAGATACTATAATAAACCATTTCAAACCAGCATGGGAAATAAAATTTACTTACACTAGACGTCGTGAGTGTGTCTAGCTCGTTCGTGAATTCAATTTATGCCCGCTCTAATCTCACGTGTGGAATCATAACCTGGTCCCAAAGGTACGCCCATGTCGGCTACCGATGTGGAGGCTGACCTAGGAACCACTCACGACTAGCCAAAACCTTGAGACAGCCAACAAATACACGAGCCCACATCCACAACTAGAGCAGGTACACGCATCCACCAAGTGACGATGAGGACGAAGTCCGACGACACACCTTGCAAAGCTGCCGGTAAAGAAAACCCAACACTATAGAGCCCCAGCTGTACTGACCCGCCTGGTCCTGGTCAGTGAGGCTGTGGACCCACATCCACGACGTAGTGTCACCCATGGCGTCGGGGAAGAGAACGTAGGTAAACAGGTGTAGGATGCACGTCCTGTAGTAGTACCCAATTGTCTCCTCATCTGTCTCCTCGGGGCACTGTGCGAACTCTTGCTAGAGACAGGAGATTAGAACTCCAGAACTGTGAGCCCCTTGCTCGCCAACCTCACACCCAAGGAAGACCTCTACTCGTGGCTCTCCAACCTTCTGACCTGCACTGCCCAGTCACTGTGTTGCCATGAATCCTCAGACCTAGCATCTTCTGACAGTCCTAGAGCATGACTGGCATCTCTCTGAAAGACAAGTGAAAGTTGTGAGTCTCCGGCCACCACCTACATTTTAGACAAAAGCAAGATTACATGTCAAAAAGGCAAGCGCATAAACAAATGGTCATGAATGGAGGCAATGATTGAAGATAATACCTATCAACCAACGCAGTTATGGCCGCCGAGTTGAACTTGGGCAACCCACGACGAACCTAAAAAGAGATGACATCTAGGCCAGCTCTTTGCAGGAAAGAAGTGTACCTATTGTCGTACTGCATGTCCAAGAACCCATTGTGGGTTCTAGGATGGAGCGGAAGTTCCTGCATGGAATAAAACATAGTCTCCCATTACTTCACGAACACATGTACGCTCACAAAAATTTGAACAAGACGTATAGATTATTACCTGCCCCTCCGCTATAAGACATCCTCGGTGGGTCTCCTCGTACGCCGGGTCGAGCAGATGGAATTACGCCATCCTACAAAAAATTCAATGAAATAGAAATTCAATATACAATGAAACATAAACTTAAAAATGTACAAGTAATTGACACAATTAAAAGTATAAATTGAGACATGCATAATTAATTGAATGAATACGACAAATATGAAATAATGAAAACAACCAATAGTCGCACCTCACTAATCTGCCAATGGCAAGTGCGTGAATTGTGGCTCAGTCTACAACACTTGCCATACTCGTACTGCTCAGGGTCAGTAAGAAATGGGGTTCCTCTCCCACGCCTCGTTCTTCCGGATATCTGATCCGTAACCATCCTGTGCCTCGTCCTCTTCCATGATCCACGCTTGTTCCAACAGTAAGCTGGATCCATAATGTACTTTGGCCCCATCATATGGAGGCCACTCTCTAGGGTCCCGGAAAGGCACGAAGCAGGGGCTCCATGTGTGCACAAGCGTGTCGACACTGAACTCGTGAGGTATCCTGCTCTCGATATTAAAGTTGTGATGCCTAGCTGCTGCCACCAAATGTGAACATAGAAAGTGGTACTGCCTTGGTTTACCACAAGTGCATGTGAAAATCTTGGAGGATTACCACATGCATCCTCGACTCTCGGACCTCACCGTCGGACGTTGTACCGCCCCTATGCTCAACCTGATAAGTCCCTATGGCGTGGTCAAAACATGTAACCTCATGTGTGCCAGCCCTTTTATTTGCCTTCTCTAGGTGTGCCTTTGGTTTCGGAACCTATATCTCTCCATCACTCCGCAACTTCAATGCATGGGCGTGTCTATCATTGAACCAGGCAACAAGCTTGTAGAAGGTGAATTGAACAATTGCATTCACGGGCATACCATGTATCCCCAATAGCAACTTATTGAATGACTCCGCCATGTTGCTGCACTAAACTCGTACCTCCATCCACCGGCATCGTGAGCTCTTGTCCATTTCTCCAAATCCGTCATCAAACCTGTGAGCCATTGTCTACCTTCTGCATTTGATGCGGTTCTGACCTGCTCTAACTTTTTTTTAAAGTACTTGTCCTCAAGTTGTCTAGCAGCCTCCTGGAACAGATCAAAGTTATCCTTCACACCATCCTTTTGGAGTAGATTCTCGGCAAGGTGCCGAGTACACCAACGATGGTGCAGAGGTGCATACCCCTCTATCTGCTCTCACACAGCATTAAGTATGCCCTAGTGCCAATCAGATATGATGCCAACCTCTATGCTAGGCCCAACCACATGTATCCAGACTAGTCTCAAGAACCATCCCCAACTGTCATTGTTCTCCTTCTCAACCAAAGCAAATGCCAAAGGAACCAACTTGTTGTTCGCGTCACAGGATATGGCTATAAGAAGTGTGCCCTGGTATTTACCAATCAAGAACGTACCATCAATGGAGAAGATGGGACGACAGTGCCTAAAGGCCTCGACACACTGAGGGAAGCATCAGAAAGCACGGAAGAATATCTGCCTCCCATCCTTCCATGCATTTGGTTTTGAGATGTACTCATAATGCATGCCTAGATTCACCGCTTTGATTGCATTGAAAAGTACTGGCAGCTACTCATACCCATCCTCCTAGTCCCCATATATCATCTTCCACACTCGCTGCTTAGCCCTCGAAGCTTTACCATAAGTTATCACATAACCTCCATACAATGCCTCAACGGTCCTGATAATTGTCCTAACCTTCATGTTGGGTTCTCCCTGTAATATTTCCATCAACCGCTTGGCAATGAGGGTAGATGTCAACTGTCGATGCTTCAGTGTCAGCACATGGTCAGCACAATTGTGTGGCCCGACAACTTTTGTGATCTTCCACTTTTCGGTGACCTTTTGCTTCCTTGCACAAATCCTCCATGGGCAGCGTTCCTTGTCACACACGATTGTGTAACGGCGCTCCACATATGAATGCAAGACCTTGTAAGGTCTCTTTCGTATCACTGCAAATGCCTGCAACCACCTCTTCAATGTAGGGAGGTCCTTGAATACCCTACCCTTCTCAATTACCATGTTAGGGCCAGCCTCATGAGCTTCTAGGAGCTCATCATCATGTCCTTTTGCACACATCTGATCGGAATGAGCAAGATCGCTGAACTCGTGAACTCTTGGATTACGGCGGCCGGGAAAGATACGCCTCAGCATCTCAACATCACTCTTTGTCAGCTCTCCAACAAGACGATCATCATCAGAATCAAAAGCCATTGCCATCTCATATGGCTTCAAATCATTCATAATTTCAACACTATTGGAGCCACAGAATCCATCTCCACAGTGCACTTGCGCAGCAACAATAGGCACATCCACATTGTCAGGAATGTCTCCTGCAACATAAGTAGGAAAATGAGGAAATAATAAAAAAATGGATGTAAGAAAGGGGGTAAGCTTCCAATAACCATGCGGATAAGACACTTGGATGATTCTGTGTCAAAGGAATCTCATGAGGAGGATCTACCACAACATCATGAGTCTGACAAGCATCTCCAACTAGCTCATTGGGGGCAGATTAAGCGTCATATCAGGTTCTGGGATGGGAGGGTCGAAGTGTGCCTGCTGACCCATTGGTGGAAAAAATCCATGAGGGATGGGATCAACTAACACCCAACGCACAACCACGTCCAAACTTTGGAACTGGCACTTCATAGCAAATCTCACATAGTTCTCCCACTGGTATGCACACCCAATTAGGATCATCTTCCTTAGGATGTTGGGAGAGGAACCTAGGTGAAGTACACCCTCCAATGCGATGCCATCATCATCATCAGCTCCATGGCAATGTAGCTCCTCCCGAGCCCTTGCAACCACTCACTAAATGAAGGCTTCTCATTAAATAACACAGGCACGCTTTGCATCTTAACAAACTCAACATATCCATAACGATCTCTTTCCACGGTGCCTCCATGATATATACTCACTAGGTTATCCATCTAGTAGTTCAAATAAAAATTGAAATACAGTTCGTTTAGTCCAAAGTAGCTGCTATACAGTACCTCTAATAGATACTAATCAACTACACCCTAAATAACTATGTCACTAGCTATCTAATTATATTTATCTCACTAACTAAATCAACTAGCTATCTAATAACTATATCTATGTACCTATATCACTAGCTATCTAACTATATCTATCTTACTAACTAAATCAACTACCTATATCATCAAATTTATTAGAAACTACCAAATAATCAAAGTAGTACTACAATTCAAGCTAACTAAGTACCTACATTGCATATTCAAAAATTTTACCTGTCCAAGTCAATGCAACGATGCGACGTGGATGCAGATGCCGAGACCGAAGCAGGACGAGGACGGGATCGATGGCGAGGTCGCGGCGCGCTGGGAGCAAGGGTCGTGTCATGGCCGAGGTCGCCGGAGGGAGCGCCTATGCACGCGACACGGGCCGGGAGGCGGCGCGCGCAGGGCATGGGACGATCGGGGCTACGCGCGGCGGCAGTGCGGCAGCGCCCTGGCTCGGGAGCGAGAGAGAGAGAAGAGAGAAAGGAAGGGAGGGCCCATACGTAAGACAGGGCTTGACGCCAATAACCATGGCGCCAAGCTCGGCGCCAAGGTGCCTGTCAAGTCACCGTCATGTCTGCGCCAAGCCTAAGACCTAGGCGTCAAAATCTATGGCGCCGAGACATGTAAGCTCGGCGTCACCAACGATGGCGCCGAGCTAAGGGTCCAGATTTTAAAAGCATAACTCCAGGGGCATATTTATGAATTTTTTTAAAAAAAAGAGCTAAAAACAAAAAAATTCGGGCGTGGTGGAAGAAGCTATGCATCTCATCCCTCACATCATAAATCTTGCCAAACACAAACAGGTAGGTGAGGCACCCTTTCTTGAGCCGCTCCAGCTGGTAGAGCCACGCCACATGGAGCCTCTCCAGGACGTTCGCCGAGCTGATGTCCTCCAGCAGGCTCTCCTCGCAGCAGTCCTTGATGTCGCCGATCCTGTACTTATTGGCCGCCGCCAGCAGCGGCAGCTGGTGCTTCCAGAACTGCCCCTGCTCGATCGTCCCGTAGATGAAGCCCAGCAGCGCCGAGCATGACTCCAGGCTCATGTCGCTGATGTTGATCGTGGACGACTCCTTCTCCCTCAGGTCAGTGCACGAACATGCTTTCGAACACGGGGGAGCACGCCGCCAGCACTGCCTTGTGGGCCTTCAGGACCCCGTCCGTTGTGTTGATGGTCACGTCGGCGTGGATGGAATCCATCAGCATGCGGGAGAGACATCCGAGGGTGCTCTTACTTGCAATCTTCTGCACCATGCCTTCGTTTGGCCACACTGATGATGATTCAGTAGCCTATAATAATTAGCATAATATTGGACAGCGTTAGCATATCATTAGCACTAAAAATACAAGGATTCATGATGATGAATCTCCTAAGTGATTCAAGTTTCTGCATACAGGAAGGAGTCTACAAAATGTTGCAGGAATCTCCCAGGTCATGGAAGCGTTTAGCAAGTGATGCGAATATATATATATATATATATATATATATATATATATATATATATATATATATATATTTAAAAAGACGAGGCTGGAAACTTGCATTGTTATTGGCTATCCTCAGGTCCAGAAACTCAACATCAATCGTAAAACGCCCATGGGACGTCGCATCAACTTGCCAGACAAAGTCATCGCTGGTACGCAGAAGGTGCTCATGGACTGCCACAGGAAAAGGATAAAACAATAACATTTATCAGAAGAGATCAATGAAGCCGTCACAACAACAAGGGAATATAAAGAAAAAATGGCAGGTCCGGTACGGTACGATAAAATCCATCAAGCTCATAAAGTTGGATATGGTATTCAGGTATGTATGACCTATGAATTATGATCCTATTTTAACTCCATTCGTATTTATCAAGGATGTAATTGCAACATAGAGACACTACTGCCATGGTCTTTCCTGAGTAAGGTAAATAGCAGCCTCATGTCCAGTTGTTAACCACTACTTCACATTTGCAATACACATTTTGTACCCTTCATGAAGCAGCAGCAACAATGCTGTTTACTGGACTAGAGAGCTTCAAATTACTTTCCTGACTGGCAAGCAACTGTTTGGGGCTTTCGAATGCTATCATGTAAAGTAAAACTCAAACGGCAGCATATGACTTCATTTTCTGCTTTCCCTAATTCTTCTGTTTCTTATGGTCTTTTATAGATTATATCATCAATTGAGATTCAGTCAGCAGATGGTGGGATCAAGAAACTTTCCCCAAGCCTTTCTGTGAGTAGTACTATGACAAGAATCGGAACAGGGACAGTTTATAACTAGTCATAGGCTCATAGCTGAATGATAGTACTATAATTTAACCTCGTAAAGGTGGAAAATAGAATATATTCCTCCCAAAAAAAAACAGAAACAACTCACAGCCATCATGGAAAATTGGGAAGGGCCATCTAATCAGCCTAAAAATTGGGCACTGCAATACTCACTATATATCACAAAGACATGAAGTATGTCATGTAATCTACTAGTGACACTCGAGAAGCACCAGGCAAATTATTGGTGCAGTGCAGTGCAAAGAAAGACTGAATCTTTAAGAATCTGGCCAAAGAAAGGTTGAATCTTTAAGAATCTAGAATGCTTAGAGAATAGAGATACTACCAGGGGAGACGCAGGTGCGTCGCGGCAGGCCAGCCCAGGAGACGCGGAGCAGGAATCGCGCGAGAGGGGCTTCTCCTTGGCCACCCGGCCGGGCTCCGGGAAGAGGCGCACGAAGATGGAGCGGCTCTTCTCCACCGACAGGTACCTGGCACAATTGTACAGCAACACGGGATTGATGGAGATGCAGGAGCAGCAGAAATTGGGATTGGGGGGAAGGAGGGATCGGGAGGAACAGGAAGCAGAGCAGACCAGTTCCAGATGCCGAGCTTGAAGGGGGACGGACCGTCGGTAGGAGCAGGGGCCGAAGGTGTCGATGCGCCACTGCGCCAACCGGGAGATGGTCTCCACGCGGGAATCCGGCCCACTCGCCCCTCCGGACCCGCCGCCGTTCATCGCTGACGCCGAGCAGCAGCGGCCACTCCAGGTCCAGGAGTGGGGAATGAGGGGATTGACGACCGAGGCGAGGAGTCACCTTCACAAAAACCTTTTCTTTTGTCGCCTACCTTCTCCCTGCACATCCTGACGAACCAACTGCCTTGTAAATAATCCATTAACAAAGAACATTCGACAGATGCAGCTGCGTATAATGGATCGATCAAAATTATGCCATGTCCTTCCACAAAAACATTTACCGCTGAGAGCCTCCAATGTAAAAAAAAAATACACGCAGCAAATTATTTCTATTAAAATCAATGCCTAATAAAGCACTCATACCAAATCCAATGGCCGATAGAAGAAGTTTGATGCCAGAATTCAAACGCACCCGCACCCCGCGCGCCCTCCGTCTACGCACGCGAAACGCTCCCCACACACACACCGTCGTGAGCAGGGTTCGATGTCTGGGAACACGGAATAAAAAAAAAGCAAACGCCGGGATGAGGACGCGACCAACCGTTGATCCCGCCGGCCGTCCGCCTCCTCCCGGATCGAGAGCTGACCTTGACGCCCTGGCCGCGCTCCTCACCGCCAACCCCTCCCTCGCCCGCCCTGCCATGCTCGATCTACGACCGAAGGGCAATGCTAGGAAAGGAGGAAGGATGCGGCAGCCGGCTAGGCGCCTGCCGGGCGCTCGCGCCCCTTCCCCTCGGCGCGCAAGCCGGCGGCCGGCCGGGCGTACACGCGCCCACGCCCGTCCCTGCCGTCGCCAACCAGAGCGGCTGCGGCCAGGCGGACAGCCGGTGCCGGCAGGAGGTCGGGGCGGCCTGGATCTGCCACCCCCTACAGCCGGTGCTGCGTCACTCAATCCGTGTGACGAGGAGATTGGCGCGGACGACGAGGAGACACACTTCCATGCGCCCTGCCACAAAGAACTGCGCAGTCGTGGGGTGACCCCTGGGACGCCGGCGCCCGCGGCGTGGCGCCCCCACGCGGTTGGGACGGGGAGGAGGCGGGCGGGCTTCAAGGAGATGCTCGTGGCGAGGAGGGGCGACGGGTTCCATTGCCTACTGTACGACGGCATCAAGGCGGATGCAACGGAGAGGAAGCAGCGGAAGCATCCGTGCAACATCTGGGATGTGGAAGTCAGAGAGGAGAGGAGGATTCAGTTGCTCGTCAGCAGGTATTCGTATTTCTGCTCCTGCCATTTCAGGCTTTCTCTGATCATATACCCTGCTTACATAATCACAACGCCAAGAACATGAGAGATGGGATAATTAGTTGAGCTGTATATAGAATCGAAATTCAGCCTGTTCGGATGGCTGGTTTGTATCGTTGTTGGTTCGTGAAGAAGTACTGCTGGCTGGTTTGTATGAGAGAAAAATACTGTTTCGGCTGGAAATTTACGATCGTTTACGACAAGCCACAGCCAAACGAACAGGCTGATTATTGTGAATGCTTTCTTGCAGAACAATGATTGGCATAAAATATCATATTATTAATTAATAGTGATAAAACTGGAGAAGGGATTGAGCACTGACTTGTGAAGAAATATGTGAAAGGAATACTCCTTCACCAAATTCAGGTCCCTCTTAGGTTTGTGGATTCATCTAATAATTTTGAAGAATAATATATACGAAACTATATCGGTAGACCCAAAAAAAAATTAGTTGCATTAGGATTCTTTTCCTGTCAAAATACTTGTCCATAGATGTAACAAAATGCAGTGTCTTTGATTCAGTCATCGTCCAGTTGTAAGGTTCAGTCCCATCGTGTTTACTCTTTGATACAATTTTGCAGACTTTTATTTACCATGATCCTGAACCTTACCAATCTTCATTTATAACAGGTTACAATAGAAACATGAATCCAAAACACACAATATGATTGTTAACACTGAAAAATGGCCCAATACAGATTTTATATACACCGGATAAATTAGTGATGACAACAAACAGGTGATGAATCATCTAGAGAGGTATCCAAAAAGTTGTTAATAAAGGAACCAGCTTTGTTAATCACCAAGCAAAATATGAGTACAAGAGAGTGGGTATTCAATATGCACAGAAAAGGTAGTTAGAAAATCAGTTGTTCAAGTTTCCTAATTATGTTTTAATAAACAAAAAATTTATTTGTGCAGACATGTCCAGCCGAGCAGCAAGTATTACGAGGTTCAGCACAACACTAGACGAGTGAAGCCATCGATTCTCCATTCTCAGGTGATTTTGCATTGTAACCTTCCTTTCCGTGCAAGATGCAGTAATAACTATGTGTAAAATGTTTTTTTAGTGCTATGAATTATCTATTTGTTCTTCTTTCTAGGCAGCATTTATACTGGTTTCGTAGCAAACTTACAAGCTGCTTGTAGCAAGAAATTTGAAAAAGAAAATCAGTGTGTGTGTGTGTGGGGGATTGGGTTATAACAACTTTTACAGGGAATTGCCAGACAAATGCATAATGGCAGATATAAATATGTGTGCCTGTGGATAAATGTTGTTGTCACTGCAAATCTGGCAATGTCACTACATGGCTGATTAAAACTGTTTTTGGGGTTGGGGTGGGGGTGGGGATTAGGGCCGTTCAGAGAGGTGGTGATGGATGTGCAGTGCAAGGAGGAGGGAGGGAGAAAACTCTCAGGTTAGGTGACTCAAGTTGTTCCGCTGATTTTTATTGTGAGGTCATGCACGCTTGTGTAGTTTATTTTGAGGTTAGGTGGAGGAAGGGAAGAAAACTCTGAGGTTAGGGAACAAAATTCTTGTGGTATGAATGCTGTGTCTGCTATCAATGTGCTTTTTTTTTTTTTCTTGCGGTGCATATTTGTTGATCCATTTGCCTATTTTTTCTTCAATTTGATAATTGTGGATGGAACAAGGGTACAATATGAATTTTGGAAGAAAGAAATATGCCTCTTTGGTTTGTTAGATAGGAGATGATACTTGTGCATGACTACTAAATAGTAAAGAAAACCTGCTAGGAAGGCCTAGACTGCTTGTATTTGAAGATATTTAAGTCAATGTAACTAAAAAGGATTACCCAAAATAATCGGTTTGCATTGCGATGTAATGGCCAAGTCTTGCGCAGTGAAACCATCTTTTGGTTGTTTTAATTTGCATATATTTCAGTTTTAATTTGCATATACTAAAATATTGTCGTAGCGTTAGCACGGGTAATATACTAGTCTGTCTAAAATATTTTTCCTAGCAGTGAAACCAATTGAAAATGAAAGAGCATCAATTAGTCAATTTACTGCCAGCCCAGCAGGGCCCATGAAACCAAACCTTGAGATTGGTAATGTAGCAGCTCTCCCAGAGGCCTATAGTCTTGGGCCTAGCATTGGAACTGCAAAAGACTATGTACAACTTCTGTGGATCCCCCTACTGATCGGTTTTGATGAAGATCAACGTCGGTGCTGCTTTGGCTAAAAATTCGGGAGTCGTCGCTGCAGCAGCGGTAACAAGAGATGTTGTATGAAAGTTCCTGGGTGCCTCGGCCGTGGTGATGGAGGGCCGCTTAGAACCTGACACGGTGGAAGCAATTGCATGCAAAGAAGGCCTAGCGCTTGCTAGCGATTTGGTTCTTCGTGATTTTAGACTACCGTGTGACAATGCAGGAGTTATCAGGAGCATTTGGGAAGGGAGCATGGGCTCTTATGGACATATGGTTCAGGAAATTAGAGCTAGACCACACGAGTTCAATTTTGTTGATTTTGTTCATGAAGGGAGGCAATCAAATTTTGATGCCCATGTCTTAGCTAGAAGTAGTGTCTGCGATGAACTCAGTAGACATGTTTGGTTTGTATCTCCACTGAATGGCGTTTGTACTTCTTATGAAGCTCAATAAAGGTTTTGCTTCTCCTAAAAAAAGTACAACTGTAAATTAATCATTTAGGTGTAATTTGGTGTATTTTTACCGTTCTGGCGTTAACATATATAACATACAAAATTAAACTCATAGTGATATAATATTTGTACAATGCTACAAGTTGTAACTCAATACATACTACAAATAGTTGCTAACCTTACGAGTGTTCTACAAAGTTCATAGCATTGGTGTTGTTATTTTTCTTTTTCTTTCCTTTTCTTTTGGCCTGTCAACTTTGATTCATGGGCAATACTAATTATTGCCATGTAAAAATAATTAGAGTACGTTAAATAAAGCTTCAACTATATATCTCAGAAAATAACTACAACTATTCACAATTATTTGTCCTATGGTTCTATTTTCCCAGCATCAATAATGACATTTTAATAAACCCACGTGTAGTGTACACGTACTATTCCTTATTTCAATAAATCTATAAAAATATGAGCATTCCTACTAAGGTTATGACTTAAAAGGTAGCTTGATGGTTTCATGGGGAATCTAACCAACTAAGCTACATCGCATGATCAACCACACGCATTTGATTAAGAAAAGACGCAAAAGAATAGAGGTTCCATAAAAATTTATTAGTGCACCGCCAGCCCTTTTCTGAGTGAGACATCACTAAACAATATTATGCAAAAAAATTTGCATAAATTGAGTTACTCAATCAAGCAAGTATATACGTGGATCATAGAAGATCGAAATCAATCATTACATGAACAACCGTGTCATCATTGCAGTGCAAGGTGGAAGTTGCTATCGACTTGAATTTGTTGATTAATAGTGAAGACTTGGATCGACTAGATTTAATTTGTAGCTGTGAAGCAAACTTGTGTGTCATGGATCGTCGGGCAATTTGTAGCAACCGTATCCTATACCAAATTTTCCACAGATATGTTCTTTTGAATAATAATGCCGCATGATTTAAGTTAACCGTATACGTATGGTATGAAAAAACGAAAATACTTATGGAAGTGCATGAAAACAAATTAAGTGTCACGATTTCCACGTGCACACGTGTACAGGCCGAAAAAATCATTACTTTCTTGTTCAGATAGAACAAGTCAATGATAACGAGAGGGAAATTAAACCATCATCAATAGTTCATAAGCAAATGATTCTGTGTGTTGTGAGAGTACAAATTTTAGAAGTAAAAATCGACCATCAGAAGAATAGCAACTAATTAAGTGCTAGCTAGCTTAGCTTTGATCAAGCAATCAGTTCCAGATCTTAGCTGAAGACGTACGTGAAATGATGAATACACCCTACAAATATACGCTACTAGAGTATAGTGGTTAATACAGTACACATGTATAATCAGTCGTGCTGAATGAAGAGAGATCATGCATATTCAGATCAGATGTTGTCTTGTCATGCATCATTGTTGTTCTTGGAGCAAGAAGAAGGAGATGCCGCCGGCGGTGTGTGATGGAAATTCAGCTGCGCGGGCGGCAGCAGGCTGCTCAGCAGGTTCCAATCCACCGTCGACTCTGCAGCGACGGCGGCAGCGGCAACCTGATCGTTATAACTATGATGCTGCACGACGCCGTCGACGGAGGGGCTCTGGAGCGGTGGCATGTCGGCGAGGAGCTGCACCTGCAGCTTGGACTCAGCCACCAAGCCGCCGTGGTCATGTGCTGCCGGAGGTGCAGGAGCGCCGCCGCTCATCAGTAGCCGCGCTGCAGGGGCAGGGCCGTCGTAGTAGTAGGTGTCGGGCATGGTACTGGCGTAGCTGCCCGGCGGCGGCGGGTAGTAGCAGGCGGCGTGCCTGATGTGCTGCTGGTTGGGCATGGGCTTCTGGAAGGCGCGGCAGACGACCCATCCTTCCTCCTGCGTGGGGGCGTGCTCGTTGCTCTGCAGCCTGTACTCGTGGATGATCCAGTCGGTTTTCCGGCCGTTGGGCGCGCGGCCGCGGTAGAAGACGAGCGTCTTCCGCATGCCGATGACGACGCTGATGGATCCGGCGGAGGACCGGGAGGTGGTGGTGGAGGAGAGCACCGGCTTGTCCCTGCCGGTGGCCTTCCAGAACCCGGCGGCGGTGGCGCGGTTGGTGCGCGTGCCGCTCGGGTACTTGCGGTCCTTGTAGCTGAAGAAGTAGTACTCCGTCGGCTCCTCCTGATCCTGGCCGCCGCCGCTGCCGCCATAGTAGCCGCACCTCTCTGCACGCACGCACACCATGCATCGATCAACGATAGGTGTCATTATATCATCCATTGCTGGACTGGAGACCATGCATGAACAAGATCGAACAAACATACCCTGGAGATCCCATGGCTCGATCCTGTAGAGATCGACATCTCGGATGATGTGGAGGTCGATCTTCTGGGAGGCCACCTTCCTGGCGAGGTAGTACCCCACCAGCTCCTCCTCCGTCGGGTGGAACCTGAACCCTGGAGGCACGCATGGTGCCTGCTGCTGCTGCTGCTGCTGCTCATCCATTTCGATCTCTTCCTGCAAATGCTCGATCACTCCACGGATCGATCGATCGAGATTATTTATGAGTTGCTTGCTTGCGTTGCGTGGTTTCACTTCAGATGGATAGAGGCATGCAGCAGGAGCAGAGAGAGAAATATGGTCCTAGAGATAGCAAGCAAGCTATAGCTACCAGCAGGCTAGGGAATGAAACATATGGTGGAAGTGGAACCAGCAGCAGCAAGCTTGGTTGCTTAAGGTGGACCTAACAAATCAGTAGTTGTACCATACTTGTACCCGTACTTACATGCATATATAGTTAGGGATGGATCGTCATATATATACGTACATGTTGGATTACTTTGCAATATCTATCATTTCGAATTTTCGATATATATAGGAGTTATATATATATAAATATATATATATATATATATATATATATATATATATATATATATATATATATATATATATATATATATATATATATATATATATATATGCCATAGTATGGTAGGAGGGTACGTGTGTGAAAATGAAGCAGCTAAACTAACTTTTTGGACTGGAAGGTAGAGTGTACGCTGGCTCGATCGATCGGATATATATTCCTTAGCTTGGAGTGCACTTCAGGCCTCTGCTGGCTGCTGCCTGCCGGCCGTCTCTTTCTCCCTCTCTTTCTTACTCACACATCCCTCCACCAGCTTGTACATCATATCATGCATACCGGTACTAGCTAGCTAGCACAAACAACATACCCTCCTCGTTCAATTCTTCTTTTCTAGCTTCTCTCACACCGTACCGTGCCTACTTGCTGCATGCAGCTACCTATAGCTATATCTCGTTGGATATACAAAAATATAACGATTATACGTAGTATGCTGCATACTCGATAGGGTCTATCATTATGATCGAGATCGAGGGGCTTCTTCTTTATAATACATATTCTTTATAATACGTACTCCCCCAGGTTGGTAAAAGAAGTCGTTTTGGACAGTGATACGGTCTCCCAAGCATAACTTAGACTTCTTATTTTTTTTAAAAATATTTAATAAAAAGTGATATATGTATATTTTTATAAAAGTATTTTTCAAGATAAATCTATTCATATGGTTTTCACATTTCCAAACCCAACAACTTAAAAGTTATTCAAGATTTATATTCCTAATGTTTGACCCATACCTTGCTCAAAATGACTTCTTTTACCAACCTGGAGGGAGTACTAAGTTTATATACAATATTCAAAGAACAGTATATAATACATACGAAGATTAATTATATATATCCAAAGAACAGGTTTGTGGGGACACGTCAGCTGAGGTACTAGCTAGGTATGCTATTGCAACAAGAAGAAGAGGAGAGACAGGAGATGACACTTTCGGCAAATGAGAGACTATATTCAAACAACTAGCACCATACCCAAACACACACAAACATATTTTTTGAGAGAAACACACAAACATATAACGACACAAAATTCATATGTGCATGATGATCAATGATGTTTTGATTATGGGTACTCACCAGCCGATTCAAGAGGTAGAAACTAGAAGGGACGGGGCGATCGGAGCTACAACTAGTGTGTGGCTTCTGATGATATGCAGCTGAGGTATAGAACACGATCAATGATGCAGGGATATTTATAGATGGGTAAAAAGCTACTTCTTTTGGGTGCCTCATGATGTTAGGACAGAGAAATATATATTGTGTACTTCTAGTTACGTACAATTAAGCTACGGCAAGTGCGCAGAGATGTAAAGAGTGAGGGTAGCAGTCTAAGATTCTAGAGAGAGAGAGATTAAAGGAGCGTGGGAGGCAGAGCGAGAGGAAGAGAGATCGAAAAGGTAGCTTAATTAGTTTAATTTTTTTGGTCGGTTAATACTAACTAATTAAGTATTCCTGAAGCGACCGCCACCACCCCACTAACTATATGCATGCATGCCAAAGGGACCTCACCTGATCTGCTGCAAGTACTACTATACTGAGGATTATATTGGCCTGTTGGAGATCCCTTTTTATTGTTGCACACATACTCTGTCTTTTCCCCTTTTCTAAATTATACTTCACTTTAGTTATGTCTGAGTAAAACTCTGGCAGATCGAGTTTTTTAAAATATTGATAACGTCTACAAATCCAAATAAATATGCTATTAAGACATATTTCAAGGAGAATTCCTAAGTTAAAATTAGATATTATCTTAAGACAAAGCGAAAAGTGAACTATATTTTGGACGGAGGGAGTAAATCTAGTGTGATATTCGTCCCCTTCGTGTAGCATATATAGATAAATTCTTAAAAACTAATAATGTAGCCAAGCCTCTCTACTATGCATCAACATTATAGACAAAAAAATATACTCCTCTATTTTGAATTGTAAGTCGTTCTGATTTTTTTTTGATACATAACTCTTACTATGTATATAGACACATATCTAAGATAGCTAACAAAATCTATGTACCTAGAAAAACCAAAACGACTTACAATTTGGAAATAATGGAGAGCGTAATTGAAATTGGGTTGCGTGAAAAATGATGCATCATATAAAACCTAACGGCCTTATTGTCATACAAGCATTCTTCAACAGAGGAATCCGATGGAGTAATTATATATTAACATGATTTCCTGGTCTAGAGACTGAACTGACCACAACTAACAATTGTTGATTTGACAAAGTCATAATCATAGCACGATCAGTTTTCGCTGCACTCCCGGGTTTCGCCAATTTTAATTGTAGACTACAACAACTCACAAATAAATTAAGATTCTTATTTTGTGTTCTATAAGAAACAACAGATAAAATAAATTGATACCCTTGACACAATCACGCACGCACAATAAAATTTGTATACATATAAACTATTTACATTATTCATGCATGAACGGTTCATGATTATATTATGAAAGAAGTTGTCATGCAATAGTTTGTCTATTATATATGTTGGTAATAACTAGGAGATGGAGTTTAATTTAATTTTGTATGCAGAATCTTTGGCGCATACATTGCTCATGGACTCGCAAGTTGTCACACGCGCGCACGCATATATAAAATAGACAATTGCGCCGTTATATTGTGCTGCAAGGCTGTGATGCTTGGAACAGACGTTATGTCACCTTCTTCACAATTCCTGGGATCTCCTCATCGATATGAATGATCCTGTTTGTTAGATTTCCAACTCAGTCTGACAGTGAAATGCGTATGAGGTTCATGCGTGTGGACCCCACTACACAAATCAGGCACCTTGTTTGCAGATTGTGGCCGGATAGATGATGCCATGCATGCTTGATGAATCGCCAGTAGTGGGACCACCACTACCTGAAATAAAATGTGAGCAACATATATATACGGTATATATACCTACCTTCCGTCTAAAAAAATATAATTCTAGACTTTTATCACGTCAATCTATCCTAATTTTGACCAAACACATATAAAAAGGTAATATATTATAATTTGATTCAACAACGACAAAGCCTTTAAATCTCAAACAAGTTGGGGTAGGCTAGAGTTGAAACCCAGCAGAAGCAATCAAGATTCAGGCACGTGAATAGCTAATATATTATAATTTAATTCATCATCATGAAATATATTTCCATAGTATATTTGCAATCATAAATGCTAAGAATATTTTCTATCAATTTAGTTGAATTTCAGAACTTTAGATCAATCAATATCCAGAGTTTTTTTTTTTTGAACAGAGATAGCTAGTATAATATGTTACAAAGCAGCACTCATGATGATGATCAGAAGCGAGGAGGATCATCCTTGGGAAGCACAATTGACTAGATATCCTTATATTCACCATTGTGCCGTGTTGCTATATATTCTCGTATGTTCGTTCGGACGGCAGTATAATATATGTTCGGGTTGTGGCTGTCACTGTCTAGACCGGTGAATGCAATGCTTCTACTCAATTGATCCATCCACCAGGATAAGGTAAACCAATCGAAGGGTCTGCATACCCTACGTCTGAAAAAGGATGTAATTCTTCTCTTCTTATAGCTAGTTAGAAAGAAGACTAGCTAGTTAGAAAGAAGACTATGTAAAGTTTAACCGAATTTGTAGAAAAGTATATAAATAGTTATGATACCAAATAATTACTACACTATTTTAAATATATTCAATGAATAATCTAATAATATTTATATATTTTTTTGTATATGTGGTATCATAAATGTCGATATGTTTAATTTTATATAAATTTGATCAAACTAAAGATGTTTTGGCTCAGTACTATGCTAAAATTGTATCCTTATCATGCTAGTGGCCTAATTAGGTTGCTGGATGCAGGAAGGTATGTATTTATACTATCGCGTATTTCTAATAATATACTCCCTTCCTCCTAGAAATGGTGTCATTCTCACTTTTCGAGAAGTAAAATATTTTAAATTTTAACCAAATATAAGAAAATATTAATATTTATAATTCATAATTAGTATCATTAGATAAATCGTTGAATGTATTCTCATAATAAACTTATTTGGAGATACAAATATCGTTATATTTTCTATAAACCTAGTCAAACTTAATAAAATTGACCAGCACGAATCTCATAGTGACACTCTTTTTTGGACGGAGGGAATACACGTCTCTAACTATCTATTGCCTGTTCGGGAAGCCGTATCGTATCGTGGATTATTTACTGCTGGCTGGTTTTGTGTTAGAGAAAAACACTGTTCCCGGCTGGAAATTTACGATCGTTTACGAGCAAGCGAACAGGCTGGTAGTAGTCGTCAAATAAAGTTTATATTTAAAGAAAATGTGGCAAGCCGCAGCAGTTCTCAGCAAAGCTAGCTTGACAAGGAATTATATGACGTAGCTTAGCTAGTCGCAGAGAATCCGTGATGTATCAAGTTCATCCGGATTTGGAAAGAGCTTTTGGACCTACCAACATACCATGACGCCAATAATTAACAACTAATTAAACAAAGTGTTCGTTGTCAGTTGAGTGTTGAGAGATATAAATCTTGTTATCATCATCAGGCTGGCCAGATAGGCCCACTAACACTGTCCAACCAATCGCCACCGGTTGTTTCAGTTTTGCTTCTGTTCCAAGGTTTACTTTGTTGCCGCACTGCATGCATATACACACTGATGCCCGGTTCATCCCCTCACTCTCGGATATAATCCTTTTTTAAAAGACTGGTGACTTTTTATTATATCGTCAGTGGAAAAGAATTGTGCTACAGGCACTGTATTGCAAAACCCAGATGTCCACTACCATTCTAATAACAACGTGTGTTTTTAATCTCTTCTCTAATAACAACCGGCAAAGGCTTTGCACGGAATTACAACAAAAAGGGAAGATACAGTACGACTAGTTGCATTGCAAGTGTGTATATATGTTACCTCCACTTGTTGTATGGTGTAAAAGAAATTGTACATCACTTGTCAAGTGTAATTAATAAGCAATGATGCAACCTCTATATATGCCCATAAACCTGAACTATAACAACAATATAATGAAGTTCAGAATGGCCCTGTTCGCTTCTCTTATAATCCGTCTTTTTCAACTTGTTTTTTCAGTCGGAACAGTGTTTTTCTCTCACAACAAATCAGCCGGAACAGTGTTTCGGCTTGTTTTTTTAGCGAAACGAACGGGGCCAATATAATAAACTTGTAAGTGCTGTCAGAAACATTGTGATCAACAACAGTGCAAGCTCTAAGTCCATATACAAACCTGACCAGCAAATAAATTCACAATATAAAGCGTGCATGCAAAAATGGGGAAACATGGCCAAATAGGGGTGAAAATTGACCTGAGCATCTCGGGTATCCTATTTGCTGCGTGCTGCCATCCACCTTGCAAACAGGCCGGCTGGGCTTGTCAGCTTCAGGTTCGTCGTACAAGCCACTACATCATTTACTGGCTGACGAACAAGAACCATCCCCTTACCCAGTCGAAGCTGACAAAGAATGTCATGCATCATTCAGTCCATAGTACAGCCAAAAAGGATTTTGATGTGGGCAGAAACATCAGATATTAGCTTATATATATCGACACCAGATGCAGTGAAATTCGAAGGACAATTTCAGATTAGAATGGGCGTAACGATGGATAAAATTCAGCAGTTCTGAAGTATTCTTCAGGTAATCAACAATCAAAAGCTGCTGCACCCAACCCAACACAAGGAAAAAATAACCATCAAGCAGTTCCGACTTCCGAGGTTTAGCATCAAACGAATGGGCACATCAATATCACAGGCCTAGTGTCCTCGCTCAAAGAAATTATGTGACGTGATAATATTACAGGGTAATGAATGGTCATCTGCGCACCAAAAGGTCCACAATAGCAAAATCTGACCATCTCTGAATGTTATATTCTGCTACCGAAACGAACACCGTTCCAGGAACATGATTCTCGGTTAGACCAATTGCATCAAGAAAGCCGACTTTCCTACTAGCCAACAAATTACATAGATGCAGGTTAAGATCAGTCCTGCTTGTTACGAGCCTGCCGAAAGCACGATGCCTGAGCTCTGCCCTTTTCCACCTTACGATTAGCATGCAGAGCGTCACAAGAGTGTTCACCTACAAACAAGCAAATAAACAGTTACTGGTAATGAAACGAAACTGATGAAGAACAGAAAAAAAAGGATCAGAGAAATGTGATTACCAAAATAAGGATCGTTATCAAAAGGAGGGACCAGACCAGATGACTGAAATGAAGAGGCCTTGGGGATCAAAATAGTTTTGGGTGGAGAAGCTCTTCCAGTTTTGTCCCAAGAATGTGTTTAATCTCTCAGCAAGGAATACACCAGAAACTGCACCAAATCAAGCAGCATATAGGTTATAAAGGTACACACAATCATATTAAAAGTAAAGTACATAATTGTGAATGGAACAAAGCCAACACAGGTTTTCCACACATATTCCATTATTAGTTACATAAACCATGCAGTAATTCTTTCAAGTGCAAATTTGGAAACTTCCAGTGTTATGGCAAGGAAGGTTAGGTCTACAAGGTTAATACATCCAAAGAAAATGTTCTTATTTTGACAGGTTTAAGCACAGACAAACCTGAGCTTTAATTTGACAATTATAAGACAAGCTGCAAGGCATCATGTGTAGGAAAGACCCATTTATTAGACATTACAGAAATATCAGTACTCAATGTGGGTATATCTATCATGACGTTTCAAACTGGTATGTTGTAACAGTATGGGAAGGAGAAAGGATAACCAAATGTGATAAATGACTTCCACATTCTGTAAGTTATAATGGTATGGGGATTCTGAAGGGTCAAAAGGAGAAGGTAATAAAAAAATGATACTCACATGTTAGAGCTGACAAGATGAGCTGGAAATTGACATTCCTCCTCGAGATGATGGTAACCAAAAGCAGAATGGCATGGAAAGTTAGTATGCTGATTAGCCAAGGCTCCTGTAAACAGAAAAGCCAATTGGTGAAGTTGATGAGACAAAAAAAATAAATTGGTTAAGAAAACAATAATGGTCATGCCGAAGTACTAGTATTGAATTTTCACAAGCTGTCAAGCATAGACCGTGTCACACTACATTTGTTGTCTTTTATGGCTTGCTCACCACAGGATGAACCCTTTGTTTTTGTTTTTCCCCCAATATCTTAGGAATTGATATGTATGGCCTATGATACACTAACACGTCAGCTGATTGTTGTATCAGTGTCCAACACTGTGTGCAACACTGATACATATTGCTGGAATGTTGAATATTTATGCACTAAAAATGAACATGTTTGACGCCAGATACATGGTCTACACCTTCCCGACACCTGCTTGATTCAACCCCAAGACATAACCACTAACACAGACACTTGAACAGTTCAGTGGATGAGTAAATTTAGGAAGCCAAGCTCAGGGCTCTGTTGTGGATTCACACTGGCAGGCGTGCATGCTATATTGTCCTAGCTCTGGTGTGGATTCGCGTTGAGATTCAGGCAAGTGAGCATGAGAACACCACTGTGCAGAAACCTTACACTTCACACAAATGTTATATAACAATAAGTACCATCAACAATATATAGCCTCCACTATACCACGATTTCAAGGAGAAGGGCTAATCTTTGTGTGATTGTCAGTGCATCAAAGTTTATGGCAGGCCCTAGGGTAGGTTGAAGGATCAGTAGCAAACATGCTACCTGAATAATCCAAGAGTTGAAAGAGGGATGCGCTCCCGAAAATGAGTGTTGGTGCATACAAAAATATTTGATGAGAAGGAAACCAAACAAAGGACATAAAGATTACTCCTTTATGGATTGCTACTTTTAGAACAGGGAATGACACGATCCATAATTCCCTATGCTGATTTTATTCATTGTCACTTAACCAGTTAACCTCAAGGAAGCAAGTTTCAGACCATGGAGTCAAGTGTGATGGCATCTAATAAACTATCGAAAACTAATGAAGCATATATAGCAGCGTAGCTAGATCCACGCACGCGTAAGCACAATACAGAGATTCCATTCGATTCCATTCCATCAATCATGAAGGATGGGGGGAGGAGGAGGAGGATGGCATGCAGGGTTGATTGGATGGATGTCCAGCACGGAGCCCGAGCGTGCGTGTGTATACCTTCCAGTCGACGGCGTGGAAGAAGCCGATGAAAGAGTCGACGGCGGGCGCGAAGCCGGTGCGCAGCTCGGAGGAGACGCGACCGAAGAGGTCGGCAACCACGTCGGCGTGCTCGTTGAGGGCCGAGCGCAACTCCTCCACGGCGCGGCCGAGCACCGACGACCCCGCCGCCGCGGCGTCATCGCCCATCTCCCTCGCTCGCTCTAGATCTCTCTCCTCTGCAGTCGGGAAGTCGGGATCGATCTGCTCAGAAAGAGAGAGCCCTGCTTTTCTGGGGCCCGCAGGTCAGTAGTTGCATTGCAATTGCAATCGGCTCTCCCTTCCCTGATTGGGCTTTTATGGAAAAAATGGGCTGGGCCAACTGAGGCCCGTTTAAACATGGGCGGGCCCGGCATTTTCCCTCGCAAAAATGTCCTCTCTCAGCTTTGTTCTCTTTTCATTTCATAAAAAAAAAAACTCTATTTAGCAGTAGAATATGACATGGTTCCTTATTTAGCATTGAAACGATAATTTTTTCTAATATAGCACTGAATTTTTTTTAGTTCTTTCTATAGCCTTGCCGTTATATTTAGCCTCTAACACCGTGAACTATGAGTTCAAAATACCATTTTACTCCTGTTTCGTGTGCAGCCACGTCAGTACGTTAACGGTGATATTTTATTGCATAGGTTTTTTTTATAGTACCATTTTCTTAGATTGAACATTTTTTACAGTACATTTTTTTGGACCACTGCACGGTTTAATTACGACATCACAATTTTGTGGATAGTACCGAACACACAATTTTGTGTATGTGTGATGGATGTTTGGTACTGTGAAAAAATATCATTGTCCACAAAATTATACTGCCATAAATAATATGTAAAAAAATAAGTTGTAATCGCCCATCTCCCTCGGTCGCTTGCTCTAGTTCTCTCCTCTGCAGTAATTTCTTTATTGTTAACTTTTTTAAACAATTTCAAAAATTAACACCGTTGCTTTTTTATGTTAGAATCTAACCCATTTTGACTGCGCCTAAGTCTCTGGCGCGGCCAAACTGTGCCGCCGCGCCACCTAGCCTGGCGTAGCAGGGCTGCCACCGTGGCTGGTCAGTAGTGCGCTGACCGCTGACGTGGCCGTGCTTGCCGCACCGTCGACTTGGCGCGGCAGGGGTACGATACAGAGGCACCGCGGTAGGGGTTCGATACAGAGGCACCTCGGCTCCCTCCCCCTCTCTCTCTCCTTCACTTCTTTGGCTGGGCGCGCCCAGCACTGGAATCGGCGCCACTGGTCTCCCCCTGGCCAGATCAGACTCCCGAGCAAGTTGGTGGTTGCCTCCTTGATCAAGTTGCGAGGCTCCCCACATGGGCACATCTCACAGTCTTGCGCCTTCAGCAAAAATAAGTGCGAGGCTGGCAACCTTTTGAGTTTTTAAACATACTCCAGTAATCATCTCGCCGCTCGCACTTTCACTTCAGATGGGTTCGCCTCTCAAGTGTTCCTCTCCACAAAAGGATTTTCGCGTCCAGGCATTGCGAAACGGGAGTGGAAGTGCAAGCGTTGAAGCAACATATCAATCAGTTCCGGTTTGCACTGAAGCGACAAATCAATCAGTTCCGGTTTGCGCGAAACGGGCCCGGCATCTAGCCCAAGCAAAGGCTAGAAACACGACGAAAGGCCGAGCTCTTGCCAACAGGTTGTCTGTTCGGAGCGAAAGTCACAGGCCTTCATGGCCTAGCTGGCTCCCCTTCGCACTTTCACGCATCACCCGCGTGCCATCCGAGACAAGTGCTTGCTTTTTGGATATAATTTTAGCGTGACTGTTGTGGTTCGGAACTCGTTTTTTTAAAGAACAGGAGGGGCAAGGAGCCCCTACTACAAATTTATTAAAAAGGTGAGGAAAACATTAAAAAGGCAAGGAGCCACGCTGGTTTGAAACTCATCAAAACCTCAACACGTTTGATGAGGACATCGCTCCGTCACATACAAGCCAAGAAAGGAAGAGGACCAGCATGGGCGTTCAACTCATCTTCATCCAACGTGAGGAGCCCACGGTGGACTGGTGGAGTATAAGACATCATTGCGATTTTGCTGAAACTTGTTGGACAAGGTGGTTAATTCGCTGTACAAATTGGTCGATAAATCCATGAACCAGGTTTGCGATGGTGCACACACTGACACGTTCTTCAGAAAATTATATACTTGTATATATGTACGGGCTTTCACACATCTTTCAAATTCGACGTAATTTGCTTCGTCTCATTTTCGGGGCGGATTGTCGGATTTTATAAATCAATGGTTTTTTCACTACAACTTTGGACTAGTTTCAAAAGGCACCTTCATTCCATGCATCGCTCGTGTTTCCATTCCAAGATATTTGCAATACTCCGACGAAGAACTCGTAGAACATGTGGAATTTTGGGTAGCCATACACAAGATACCGATGAATGAGGAGGCTGAGGATTCAATTCGATGGCGATGGACTAGAATAGATGGGGATATACGACTATTAGTGCCTACAAAATACAGTTTACAGGGACCTTCAGGCTAACCCCAATCTGGAAAACACGGGCAGTACATAAATGTAGGTTCTATGCATAGAGCTTACTATGTCAAAAGATTTTGACTGCATACAACCTGATCAAAAGGGGCTCATTATGCAAATTATTTGGGATGGAGCTAGAAACACCGCAACATCTATGTAAAGGCTGTACCTTCACAAAGGAGACTTGGATAATAGTACAGAACAGTTGTGATATCCCCAAATTCGGAATATAGACCAACGCGGGTCAGTTTATAACTACCGGCGGAGACGCTGAGCATCCTTTGAACAGCTTCTAAAGAAGTTATTTTTGATGGAATTATCATCCATTCTGGTGGAATATCGATTGAGCCAGTTTTTCTTTCGGTTGGGAGTTGTTAGTGGTTTCCTTTCTTGCTTTGGTGTTTCATTTGACCCGGCTAAATTTGCTTTTCTCTCTCCTTTTGCTGAGTTGTGCTTGTAACACCGTTATTTGCTATTTACCTGTCTAATTAAAATCTTACTATTACTAATTAGAGGTTCTAACAGAAAAATCACGTTAATTCTCACCAGACATGTTTAAAAAAGGGCTTGTCTACTCCACACTCGTGTGTTTTATGAAGAAACAGCACACGGGTGTTTTCAAGCATAAAAACACACGAATTCAAGCCCCCAAATAACCATGTGTTTTTTTTAAATCTAACACACGTTTTTTTTTGTAGCCTAGGTAACACAAGAGTTGCAGTCCAGAAAGAAAATCCATGTGTTTTTTCCTTAACTAGCACACAAATTCCTTTAGGGGAAAAAACCAGTGTGTTTTAGGAGAAAGTAGCACACGGATTTTGTGGCTGCTGTAATTTGTTGCAGTTATATTCTGTTGCACTTGTAGTCTGTCAGAGAAGAACACTTTAAGTGGAAGCACAGCTGAAGATTACAACGCATACATAGGCTAATTAAAGGCAACCTGGGATTAAATCAACCAACACACAACCAAAAACAACTAGTGCTGTTGGTCAACACAGGGAAATGCATACTTGCCTTCCAACGCAAAGCTTCAGTCATATGTGGTAGGCAGGCTACAACAAAAGATCAAATCCAACCATTTCATCTCTAAATAAATATTATACATTAACCAAGCCGTATTAGCATTTGCATTGTACAAGTCGACAAGAGCAACCTAACAAACCCAATCCCTGAAGTAATTAAACTATAAATCCATTTCATCTCTAAAAATCCAGATAGACGGTGTAGCGGTAACAGCCTTTTGCCGCTGAGACCTCATGGTTTGCCTAATCCCTCCGATGCACTCTTGTTCCTTTTTTATTATGAAAGGACAAGGACAACATTAGACAATATGGTTTGTAGAAATACCATATATCTATCGTAACAACTGCACGCACATGGTAACTAGTCAAAATAATACACAATATGGTTTGTAAAAATTTAACTTATTGCATATTATAACAACTACAATTGCAGTACTACATACTTGTAATTTACACTATTCCTGATTGCAACTATGATATTTGTGTTTTATTTATTTGTTTGTCATGAACAGGAGAGTTCCACAGCACTAGTGAACTACAACTGCTATGGACAAGAACAACAAAGAAAAGAAATGAATGTGAGTATCCAAAATTCTATGGACAAATTTGGCTTACTTTGTCTTGCTTGAATATATCATTCCACTACTTTGTCTTTCTCTTTAACTCCTTGGCAAAATTCATTATAGGAAAGATCTATGTGCCACAATAAAGAAAGAAGCTAGTGACCATAATGAAGTGGCTGCAAAGCTGCACCCTTACACGGAACTAAGAGTTCATAGCACTAGTGAAAGGTCCTAATGGCTAGAGGGGGGGGTGAATAGCCTAATAAAATTCTACAACAACACTTAACAAAATGTGTTAGACAATTTTACGGCGAAGCGAGTGTTGCGCTAGCCTACTAAAATGCAAGCCACCTACCACAATTCTATTTCAAATAGTGTATGTCCACACAATAGCTATGACACTTAGCTAAATTAGTGTGCTCTCAAAGACTAACTAAAGAGCAACACTAATCAAACAAACAAGCTCTCACAACTAGCTACACTAAAGAGCTTGATAACTAGTTTGCGGTAATGTAAGAGTGAGCAAGAGAGTTATACCGCCGTGTAGTGGTAGGAACCAATCAATCACAATAATGAATACCAATGTAGACCAATCACCTCGGAATCAAATGATGAACACAATGATTTTTATCGAGGTTCACTTGCTTGCCGGCAAGCTAGTCCTCGTTAATGGCGATTCACTCACTTGGAGGTTCACGCAGATTGGCATCACTCGCCAAACCCTCAATAGGGTGCCGCACAACCAACACAAGATGAGGATCACACAAGCCACAAGCAATTTACTAGAGTACCTTTTGGCGCTCCGCCGAGAAAGGTCAAGAACCCTCACAATCACCACGATCGAGTCTTCGAGACAATCACCTCCTCCACTCAACGATCCTTGCTGCTCCAAGCCGTCTAGGTGGCGGCAACCACCAAGAGTAACAAGCGAAATCCGCAGTGAAACACAATCACCAAGTGCCTCTAGATGCAATCACTCAAGCAATGCACTTGGATTCTCTCCCAATCTCACAAAGATGTTTAATCTGTGATGGAAATGAGTGGGAGAACTTTGGCTAGGCTCACAAGGTTGCTATGTCA